TCTGAGCCCAAGGGCATTGGACTGCCGTGTCAGTGTGCCCAGCCCCTCCAGTCGTCCAGTTTAGAACTCTTTTGGATGGCAGACACGGGGGGGGGGGCTTTTCTGTCATGCCCTGGGATGTGTGTCCCCCACCCCACCCCACCCCACTGTTCTCTTGCTTGGCCTGGCGAGAATCCCTCATGAAGTCGAGAGCTTGCTCGCCCCTTCCTCTCACTTTGCCCCCTTCCCGTTGGCAGCATGACCTTCCCATTGCTGACTTTGGCCAAGTGGGAGGAGGCCGCCCTCTGGCTGCTGAAGAGCCTCTCCTTGCCTCTCTGGAGAGGGCAGGACGTTAGTCTCTGTGCTGCCGCCAGGCAAGGTAGGCAGGAGGGCTCTCAAGAGACCGCAGCAGCAGCATCCACTGCCAGCCGGGGCGCTGGTGGTCCGCCGGGCCTCTCCAGGGGACGAGGGGGGGGCTTTGCCATTTTCTGAAGGCAGCAGAAAGCAGCAGTGGCAGCGGGGGGGGCTGGAGCCCTGCTTATAAGGCATGCAAAACACCACACCCAACACACTCCCCCCTGATAGGCTATTGACATCACACTGCTTATCTGTAGGTTGGTTCCTGGATCCAGGCGAGCTATTGTCCTGGAGAAGCAAGCTCAGCCTGTTCTAGGTTCAGCTAGAGGAAAGGCTTAGGCTCGATCCATAACAGGAGACGTCTGCCGGGGACGGTGCGGCTGAATCGCCACCAGCAGGGCTTCAGCGCCATGGCCCCTCGGGCTGAGCTGGGCCCTGAGGAACCTGTCTGCTCCCCCTCCCCCCCCGTCGAGAACCCCTCCTCCCTCAGACACCGTTGGTGGCGAGACCGCCTGGGCAAGACTCCCCTTCCCAGGGCATCGGAGACACAGCGGGGGAAATCCCCTGACACGCGAGTGTGTGTGTGTGTGTGTGTGTGGGGGGGGGGAGCAATGCCCCCTCTAAGCTCTAGAGTCTCGTGAGCAAAAATCCTACTTTGTGAGCTACCGGCATGAAAGCTGCGAGTGAAGGATTCGGCTGCTGCATCAATCAGTTTGCTCCTTCCTGAGCGGAGACGGAAATGTGCGAGCCGGAGACTAAAAAACTGGGAGCTGGCTCGCACGGACTCAGCTTAGAGGGAACGCTGGAGGGAAGGGGGGGGGAGCAGGAGCCCTTTGCCGTAACAAAGGGACCATGGAGCCTTTTCAGTTCTGTTTGGGAACGGAGGAGGCATCCTCTCCTGAGCCGAAGGGCTCCTGCCGCCTCCTGCCCCTTGGAGGCAGACCTCTTGGAAGGCCGAGGAGGAGGAGGAGGAGGAGGAGAGGCCGAGGCAGCCGGGGAGGACAGGGGAGCCTGTTGTGCCTGGGGAGGGGGGGAAGCACAGGAGGGTCTGCAGCTGACCCGGGGCTCAGGGCGGAGGGAGGGGGTCCGCCCCACTCCCCTTTGCCTCCCGCAGCCCCCCAAGAAACCTGTGCTTGGGAAGCCGGAATGGAGGGGGCTGGAGGGATACCAGAGAGCGGGAGGGCAGGGCAAGTGCCCGCGGGCACACGGCTCTGTCACTCCGTCCGGTCCCTTTGCGTGCCCTCTGGCCTCGCACGCCCACCGCCGCTCTGTGCCACCCTGCCCGCCTTCCCCCCCCCACCACACCCTACTTGTGTCGCCCCGTCCCCTAAGCTTTCAAAGGGTTTTGCGGAGGTGGGGGCCTTCCCAATGTTACGGGGTCTGGAGGGAGTCCAGGGGGGTGACGCCCGTGTCGTGGGGGGGGGACAGGGAGGGAGGTGAAGTCAGAGACCGGCGATTCGGTCCCTGAACCGGACAGATCTGGACCGTCGCTGCTTCGAATCTAGATCACAAACAAATCTATTGAAATGTTTATTTGCGTACTTACATTTATAATCTGCCTTTCTTGTTCAAGGTAAGGGTAGATTACAGAATTAGAAGACAAAGTGACAAAAACCAGTATAATACAGACAGAAAAAACGATATAAAGTGTTGAACTTATTATAGGAGAAGCTTTAAATATTAAATAAGTGTGCCTGCACTAAAAAGCTGATACCCAAAACAAAACTTTGTTGGTCTTAAAGGTGCCTGACTGGACTCAAACTTCCGTTCTGTTGCTTCAGGTGAACAGAGCGACCCCCCCACCTGAATCTATATACAACCTGCTGTTAGTCAAAACGGATACAATAAATGCAAAATGTATAATCACACACCTGAAGTTCAAATCTTGTCAATAAACACAATTTATTTTATTTTTATTTATTTATTTATCCTTGGATTTATATCCCGCCCTACCCCAAAGGCTCAGTAGTAGCACTTTACTATACTGTGCGGTTTAAAGGGTTTTAGAATTGTTTTAATCTAATTTATATTTTATGTTTTTATTGTAACTGTGTGCTGTTCTTGTGTAAGCTGCCCTGGGCCCGCCTTGGCTGGGAGGGAGGGGCAAAAATTCATTACATAAATACATGGAGGGGAAATGATCCCCAAATAAAAGATTCTGCATTTGATTCATCTAGGAACAATGCATATTCAAGAACTGATTATATATCCTTGTGCCAAAGAGTTGATGTCGGGCAGTCTTTGATTCAAGCCATAAAGCGGTTTCTGACCGTGCACCAGAGTCTGTGCCACCCGCCCGTGTCACGTCTATGGTTACGGTTAAAGAGAACAATTGCTGACAAGCGAACACTGGAGATCCGCTCTGATGAAGGGAGCCTCGACTCTTGAGCGTTTATACTCCCAAAATCTTGCTCGTCTGTAAGGTGCTGCTGGACTTGAAGATAGCCGGAAATCCAGCCATTCTTTGGAATTAATGCTGCCCCCGGGTGGCCCCAAGACATTTCCTGGGGTGCAAAACTCTTATAAGGGGTGTTCTCATGGGTGAAACCTCAGGGAATAAGAACCAACAGGATGCTGCCGAAAAAAAACTATATTTTGGAAGAAGCAGACATATTGGGAGGGGGAGGGACATAAAGGATGAGGTGGGCATAAAATTCATGGAGAATGCATTGGAAAATGAGCTGAACTGGAAACTGTATGGGGGGGGTTTTGCTATCAAGTCACGGTTGACTTATGGTGACCCCCTGGGGGGGGGGTGTTTCAAGGCAAGACGCGTTCAGGGGTGTGGTTTTGGCCGTTGCCTGCCTCTGTGTCACCCCCCCGAACCTCCTTGGAGGTCTCCCGTCCAAATAGCAGCCGGGGCCGGCCCTGCTCAGCTTCTGAGATCCGACGAGGTCTGGCCAGCCTGGGCCATCCCGCTCAGATCAATGAAAAATTTAGGAGATAATAAAAGCCAGACAATATTAAAGGTAAAGGGTAAAGGTTTCCCTCGCTCGAAAGCCAGTCGAATCCGACTCTAGGGATGCGGTGCTCATCTCCGTTTCCAAGCCAAAGAGCCAGCGCTGTCCGAAGACGTTTCCGTGGTCATGTGGCCGGCATGACTAGATGGATATTATAATCAAACGTATTATGAATTTTACTAATCAAAATTTTCAAGTACGGGCAAGGTACTTAAGAAAGAAGTAAGGTGTTTTGAATAACGAATAGTCAGAAAGAACACTAATGTGATGCAAAAGGTATCAATCAGCAATTTGATTTTTTTGATCAGGTCATCCCTCAGTAAACAGGGTAAATTCCTGTCCGGATGAGACTGGAATGCAGTTGAAGGGGGAGGATCACAAAGCTGCAGTACACAAAGCTACAGTTTGGTGTCGTGGTTAAGTGCGCGGACTCTAATCTGGGAGAATGGGGTTTGATTCCCCGTTACTTCACATGCAGCTGCTGGTGTGACCTTGGGTCAGTCACAAGTCCTCTCAGAGCTGTTCTCTCAAGCGCAGTCCTCGAAAGAACTCTCTCCACCCCACCTACCTCACAGGCAGTGTTCCCTCTAAGCTGAGTTAGTGTGAGCTAGCTCATGGTTTTTTAGCCTCTGGCTCACATATTTTTGCCTTAGCTCAGGAAGGAGGGCTCCAGAGCAAACTAATTTATGCAGTAGCCAAATCGCTCACTCACAACTTTATTGCCAGTAGCTCATAAAGTAGTGTTTTTGCTCACAAGACTCCACAGCTTAGAGGGAACATTGCTCACAGGGTGTCTGTTGTGGGGAGGGGAAGGGAAAGGAGTTTGTAAGCCGCTCTGAGACTCCTCCGGGTAGTGAAGGGTGGGGGATAAATCCAATCTCTTCTTGAAGTAACAGAAAGAGTAGCAAGATGAGTTATTTTAAAAAAATTTAGAAAGACAAGGTTCCTGGTTTGGATGGGTCCTCAGATGCATTTTATAGATGATTTTCAGATATTTTAATGCCTCATTTCACATTGTTGTGTAATAATATACAAGAAGGGAATGTTGATCCAGACATGTGACATAAAACTAGGCTGATGGTTGTTTCAGAACCGGGAAAAAGTGTCAGATGCATGGAACCAGAGAGGCCTCCCCACTACCCTCCTCAGTCAAGACGCCCAAATATTTTCAGCTGTTTTGGCAACTGGAACAAGTGCTCTGACACACCACTACGTGGATAAATGGACAACCAAGAGATGCAGTAGACAGAATTTTAAAGGTTGTGCATTATAGCAACCAAACTAAAAAGTCAGTAGCTATCCTGTCTTGAGATGCGCATAAAGCGTTTTGCAGATTGGAATATTACACTGGGGGGAGATTAACTGTGTGGCCGTCACAGAAATCTCTGGCTCCCGTCCCCCATCTGCGCTTCATAACTCTGCACCCTCCAGATTTCTGTCGTGTTTGACTCCTGAGGTGTCAAAAGAATTTCAACTCCAGGCACACTTAGCAAGCATAGCGGACATAATTTTAGCTCACTGATAAAAAAAGGTCTCGTTATCTTTTTCCCCTCCCAATAGACCGTGTGACGTAGGGTGGAGCCTTTTGCCTTCCCACCCCTTCGGAGGCAGACAGGCAGAGCACGCTGCCCCCCTCCCGGCTGGTGTGACTGGGCCGTCTGTCTGTGGGCACCCTTGCATTTGAACCTGTGGTCTCCTTTGCAGGCCATGCGATCTCCCTTCCTGGCTCAAAGAAGATCCCGCAGCTGTTTTGGATGCACTCCCTGAATTTGAGACCGGATTAAAGAATGGCGCAAGTTTTGCGTATGGAGACTGGCTTCCCAGGTGGGTATGCAAACATTGCTTTTTGTCTGTATTCCAGCGGTGTGGGGCGTTCACTCTGTGGCGGGAGCTACAAGCATCTCTTCCGTTGCTTTGAGTGGCACATCAGGGGAGGTTGTTTTGAATTCTTGTTTCATGGACCTGAGGTGGGTGGGGTGCTGATGGGAAGTGGGTTGGAGCCAGGCTTCTGGTGTATGGGCAGTGTAAACAGTTTGCCTTTTTCACCCAAAGCTCATAAAGTCCAGCTGAGTGGATACTGGAGTTAGTGCAATGTCTACTGCCTTGGCAGATGTTGGGTTTTGAGTCTCCTTGGTGTTTCCGAGTGCCAGGTGGCAGATCCCACCTTGGCAGTCCACCAGCTGGGCGCGCTCGGAATACTGGCCGCACTCTGCCGTGTCGCTTGGCCTGGGCGCCCACAACCCAGCGCTGCGCCAAATCAGGACAGGAACAGTGACTCTGTGCACACTCAGGCCGTTCCCGTTTTGCACTCATAGCCTGCCAGATCCCAGTTTCTTGAAGCAGGCAGCAGTGTGTTGATGATAAAATGAGCAATTGATTAACAGAAACAGCCCAACTGAAAAAGAGTTTATGATGCTTCTGGAAGGTACCTGGAGTTTGGCTGAGCACCCGGCTGAGGCAAATGATCCATCACTGAGCACTGGTCACCAAGGAGTTAGTGCCTCTCTGTGTGTTGTTTCATTCATGACTTTGTGTGTGACTGGAAAGACCTCTCTCAGATGAGCCTGTGGCTAGGGCTGTAGATGGAACCAAGCATCAGATCGATGCTTTGACATGTATATTTGCAGATAAGAACAGTTGATTTGCTAGGAAAGCAGAAATAGAGAATTTTATGGCTTATTATATTATTATTTATCCTTCTTATTTTGTTGTGCTCATTATTTTATTATACTGTTTCTACTTAGTGATCTGCTTTGAGCTTGCTTCTGGAAAAGTGGCATATTTGTTTTTTCTAAATGTATAAATTAGAGGACTTCCCCCACTTATTGCTGCAAGAGGTCTGGTTCTCTTGAACAAAAATGTCCTCTGTTCATTGGGAGAAATGCAGTAATGTCATGGAATGTCCATAAACATGACAAAACATGTCCATAAACATGACATAACATGACTAAAGGTTGCTAAATATGCTGCTACCAGGGCCAGGGCTTTTTTGATGGCAGCTCCTACCTGGTGGAATGAGCTCCCAGAGGAGATCAGGGCCCTGCGGGACCTAGTACAGTTCCGCCAGGCTTTTGAATAGGGGCCGCCGCCGCCACTGTACCACCACCGTGTTGTCATCTTTGTTGGTGGAATTTTCTACAAGGTGCGCCGGCCCTGGGATGGAAGAACTGACAAAGTGAAGTACTCACCAGAAGAGATGTCAGCGTTCCCCGGAGCGTATCATCGGAATCCCCATCTTGGAATTGTTATAGTTTACTGTTGAGCACCGATATTTTAATTGTAATGATTACTGGTTTTAAATTGTTTTATGTGTGGGATTTGCCTCTTACGTTAGCCGCCCTGAGCCCATGTGGAAGGGCGGGATATAAATCTAATAAATAAATAAATAATATATATATATAAATAGTTGCTCCTGACTTGAAACTCTCCATGCACAACTTCAATCTATTTTTTTATTAAAACATGCATATTCCCTCCTTTCCTTGTGGTTCGAACATTATGTTACCCAATCTTATCATATGGAGGGTGCTGAACCAGATTTTTAGAAATGGAAATAGTTGAGCTGATCTGTGTCCCCTTCCTGTTGTGCAGGGAAAGCCAACCCCGCCTCCGCTACGTCCTTTCATGGGAAGGATCCAGATGTGCACTATTCGGTGGAGACCCCCTACGGCTACCGCCTGGACCTGGACTTTCTCAAATATGTGGATGACATTGAGAAAGGCAACACCATCAAGCGCATTCCGGTCCACCGCCGACCACGGTACAGCTCATTGCCGCGGGGTTATGGCTACACCGGCTCTTGGTGGACGTCCACGGAGTCGCTCTGCTCCAACGCCAGCATGGACAGTCAGCACTCCTCCTATTCGTATTGCGGACGCAGCTTCTACCCACAGTACAGCCATGCCATGTCGAGCAACTTCAATGCCCGTGTGGAGAAGACCTTGCTGGACGCCAGGAAGAAGCTGGAAGACCAAGCGGGCTCCGGCGAGGAGGACAGGCCCAGGGCCAGTGGCCTCCGAAGCCTGAGCCACAGCAGCATCTCCGGATCCACCAGCTCCCTGGTGGGAAACCCAAGCCTCTCCCGCCAGGCTTCCCACAACGGTTCGCAGCAGGGTGCCCCTGGACAGTTCACACCTGTCGGCTCCGGGCTGTCCACCCCGGTCTCACCGACCCCGGGACACCTGCAGCACGTCCGGGAGCAGATGGCGGTGGCCCTGAGGAAGCTGCGCCTGCTGGAGGAGCAGGTGAAGATGGTGCCGGTGCTCCAGGTGAAGGTCTCCGTGCTCCAGGAGGAGAAGCGGCAGCTGAGCGTCCAGCTGAAGAGCCAGAAGTTCCTGGGCCACCCGGGGGGGCCCCTCGGCAGGGGCAGGTCCAGGGGGGAGCTCTACATAGACATCCCGGAGGAAGGGGCAGGGGGGGGGAAGGCGGAGGAGGGCGCAGGCGGGAAGGAGGTGAGGTCGGTGGCTGTGGGGAGGTCGGCCGAAGAGGCAGAGGGCGGGAAGTGTGACGTGGCGGTGGCCGTCCGGGAGGAGGAGCTGGGCTGGCCTTCCCTGGAGGAGGCCGAGCGGCAGAGCCCGGCCACGCACGCCCTGTCAGCCAAGGTCGCGGTGCTGGAAAGGCAGCTGGAGAGGGCGCTCCAAGAGCTCCAGGCCGCCCAGCGGAACACGGAGCATCGGGGCAAGGAGAAGGAGGACAAGTGGACGTCCACGGGGAACGGGAGCGGCCCGGCAGAATGGGGGGCGGGGGGAGCGGGTGCAGAGCAGCGGGACGAAGGGCCCCCCCAGAGGCACCGGGAGGCCTCCGTTGGCCAGAATGTGGCTGAGGTGGTCCAGGGGGAAAGCGAGCCAGAGGTGGTCACCAGCACGGCCACAGGGCCAGGCCACAGGCCATGGGAGGAGGCACGCCGCCTGGAGACGGAAGAGTCCGGTACCAGCCCCAGACCCTTGGCGGGCAGAGACCCGGGGGCCCAGGGAGCCACGATGCCCCTCCGCTCCACGTATCACAGTGAAGAGGTGATGGAGACCACGTTCCCCACCCACGCCGGCCCTGCGAACGCAACGACCACGTTCCATTCTGTGAAAAAGATCAGCATCATCAGCACAGAGGAGGACCGGACGGGGAAGCCGGAGACAGGTAGGGGGAGGGGCCCGTTTGCCCTGGAGCAGAAGCAGCAGCCACATCTCCCCACCCCCCCACCCCCCCCAGTCCCACCTGTCTTCAAACTGTGCTCCCGCCCAGTTCGTCTTCTAACACATCCAAAGTGCTGATAGACCCAGAGGGGCCGCCGGGTTAGTTTGTTTGTAGCAGCAGAAAAGAGCAAGAGAGCCCAGAAGCCCCTTAAAGACCGACCGGATGAGTGGCAGGGGGAGGAGCTTTCCTGGGTCACTGCAGTGCTCCCTCTCAGCTGAGTCAGCGTGAGCCAGCTCACAGTCTTTTAGCCTCCGGCTCACACAGTTTTGCCTTAGCTCAGGAAGGATGGGGCTCCAGAGCAGACTGATTCATGCAGGGGCCAAATCGCTCGCTCACAACTTTAATGCCAGCAGCTCACAAAGTAGGATTTTTGCTCACAGGACTCCACGGCTTAGAGGGAGCCTTGGCCACTGGAATCTGAAGAAGGGAGCAGGGGGACTCCGGGAAGCTCCTGGCCGGCCACTAATTCTGTGAGTCTTTAAGCGGCTGCTGGGCTCTTGCTCTTTTCTAAAGGGCTGATAAACAGCAACGGTGCTAGAAAGGATGAGGGCAACCGGGCTGTCTCCTCTCCCTGCCCCCCCCAAAGGCCCCCATTCATTCTGTGTGGAACCGTGGCCGTGCCTGAGGTTTCCTCTGAGCGGAGTTAAAGTTAGCCCCAGAAGGCATGAATCTCAGCAGCCAAACCCCCTCCAACCCAGAAGGTCTGGAAAAGTTCCGCCTCTGAGGACCCTCCAGCGTCACCATGGTCTCTGCCTGGTCTGGGCCCAGCAGCCATACCTGCACCTAGTTCTAGGTCTGTCCCCCCCCCCCAAGCTGCAAATGTACAGCAGAGCCCTCTCCAAAGTTCCCTCTCCACCCCCTGCAACTCTTCTATTAAAAGGGTTTCGTGTATTGAAGATGCAGATTTTTACCAGCTGCTTACAGAAAGAGATGCTCTTAAAATAGTCTCTGCTGTTCCCAGGATGAGATCAAAGAATGCAAGCCTCAGTTGCAGGGGTCACTTCGTAGAAAAAGAGGTGCAGGAGCTCATTAGCATAGCTCATTAGCATAACTCATTTGCATATTCCACACCCCCTGACGTCACCGAAAGTGTGTCAGAAGGCAACACACACCGCTCAGGCTCCAATGGACTCTTTTGGATGGCTAGCTATTGGCGGGGGGGAAGGTGCAGATCTGTCCTCGCAGAGGAGGGAGAGCTTGCACCTGAATAAACCTTGACCTTAAAGGTGCCACTGGACTGTTTTGGGCCGGGGGGGCAGGGTGCGGGGCTCTGCAACTTGACTGGCTGCTTCTTGCTCTGACTGAGGGCTGCTGGGAACAGGGGGCAGGGCTTGTTGCATGTGCCCGCCCACAGGGCTCTTTACTACCGGAGCTCCGCTCCTGTGCGCTCCGGCAGGAAATGACCCCTGCTCAGTTGTGAAATGTCTTGGATGCGTTTTTGTTTTGTAAAAGACCCTCTTTCTAGTTGGGGAGCAGCCTGAGTGAGCCCGACGGGACTCGGCTGTCTGCTGTGACGCCCCTCTCCGGGAGGCTGGGACTGGAAACCAGGCGTGTGCTTGATTTTGCTAGTCACGGTGGGATGAGCAGCCTCGGATGGGGCTTCTGGGCCTGGGAGGCGGTGGGGGGGAGGGGGGGGCTGCAGTTCAGCACGCTCTCAGTGCCGCGCCAGGTTCTCAGGTGCCCTGTGAGGGGGAAAGAGGAGGAGGCTCCCGCTGCGTGCCCACAGGCCAGAAGACCTCAGGGTTTGGGGAGGGAGCCCCACGCTGCCATGTGTCCTGCGTGGCTCCTGTTCCCCCCGTGGCTGTGTCTCAGGTGGAGAGCCCTGGGCTGTCGTGGCTGCTCTCTGGGCAGCACGGGGGATAAAGAGATGACAGATGGCGGCATCTGTATCGCTGCTGTGGGGACTCCCCAGGTCGTCTGGCCGCCTTGTTTGGTTCCTCCGTTGCTGATGTGTCTCTGGGGATCCAGCAACACGGAAGCCGGGAACGGGATGTGGCCTCAGGCAGGCGTCCCTAGGAAAGGTGAGTGTGGACTAGTGGAAAGAGGGCCAGCCTCTGAGTTGGTCAGCTGCAAACTGATTGGTCAGCTGAACAATTAAATTCCACATCTTACATAAATTCAAAAAGGGCTTTCCTCACAATCCTGAATGAAAACAACCCCTTCTCCTAAGTGAGAGTCCTCTGTCAGCTGGTGGTGCCCATGAGCCGACCCTTTCCCAGAGTCCCTTGAGAACACTCCGCCCCCCACGCGCCCCCCCCCCCCCGATCTGGGGAGCAGTAGAAGTCTCCCCTGCAGGTCCCACGATTGTTCCCAATGGTCACTGGCAGATCCTTGTACAGGCATTTGTTGGCCAGTTTGGAAGTCAGTGAATAAAAAGCTCTGCAGTGTTCTGGGAAGCCGTCTTCTGCTGGCAGCTGTTCAGCTCTGTCTGTCTGTCTGTCTGTCTGTCCGCCTGCCTGCCTGCCTGTCAGGTTCTTGTGTGTCAGAAAATCACGTCTGTTGGTCACACCACCCACCCTATACGACAGCCCCTCCTCACTTTGGATCCCTGTTAAATGTGGGCAGGGTTCTGGCACAAGTGAGGCCCACCCACCCTACAGAGGAGAAAGAACCGGGGGGGGGGGCAGGACAGCCAGCCTCATGCACCCCATATGGTGAGGAACATCAGAGAACCTAAGAGAATCCCATGCTGGATCAGGCCAATGGCCCCTCCAGTCCAACACTCTGTGTCACACGGTGGCCAGAAATACCAGGTGCCATCAGGAGGTCCAGCAGTGGGGCCAGGACACCAGAAGCCCTCCCACTGTTGCCCCCCCCCCCAAGCACCAAGAAGACAGAGCATCACTTGCCTCGGACCGAGAGTTCCTACCTATACCTTGTGGCTCATAGCCACTGATGGACCTCTGCTCCATATGCTTGTCTAATTCCCTCTTATAAGAACATAAGAGAAGCCAGTGTTGGACCAGGCCAGTGGCCCATCCAGTCCAACACTCTGTGTCACACGGTGGCCAGAAACACTAGGTGCCCTCAGGAGGTCCAGCAGTGGGGCCAGATGACACTAGAAGCCATCCCACTGTCCCCCCCCCCCCAAGCACCAAGAATACAGAGCATCCCTTGCCCCAGACCGAGAGTTCCTATCTATACCTTGTGGCTGAGCCACTGATGGACCTCTGCTCCATATGTTCATCCAATTCTCTCTAATAAGAACATAAGAGAGAAGCCAATGTTGGATCAGGCCAGTGGCCCATCCAGTCTGACACTCTGTGTCATGCAGTGACCAAAAACACCAGGGGCCCTCAGGAGGTCCAGCAGTGGGGCCAGGATGCTAGAAGCCCTCCCACTGTTGACCCCTCCCTGAAGCACCAAGAACACAGAGCATCCCTTGGCCCAGACCGAGAGCTCCTATCTATACCTTGTGGCTCATAGCCACTGAGGGACCTCTGCTCCATACGTTTATCCAATCCCCTCTTGAAGCTGTCCATGCTTGTAGCTGCCACCTCCTCCTGTGGCAGTGAACTCTATGGGTTCATCACTCTTTGGGTGATGAAGGACATCCTTCCTTTTGTCCATTCTAACCAACTAACTGCTCAGGGAAGGGGGGGAGGGGCCGGGGCTGATGCCTGCCTTCTGTCCCCTGTTCCAGAGACCCTCTGTCTCCCCCAGGAGCCTCGCTCGGGTGCACCGGGTGAGCAGGAGGACCCAGGTAAGGAGGCGGGGGTGGACCGTTGGCCGTGAGGTCCTCTGCGGAGGCCCCCTCTGACCGCAGCTGCCTTTCTTCCATTTCCCCACAGCTGCATGCACAGCGGGGGTCCGATCGGTCACGGAGGAGGAGGTGAAGGAGCCCACGGGCCTCCCTGGCAGCCAGAAGCACTTGCAGTCGGTGGGCGTCAACGGCGGGTACGGCAAAGCCCTCCTCCCTGCAGTACGACCCAATGGGAGGCTTTTCAGGTGTCCATCCCGGACTTCTGGGCTGGAGCGGTGGCCTTGGGCGGCATCCAGAGGGCAGCTTCACACACACGCCACCCCCTGGTGTCCCGCTGAGCCCTTTGCCCGGAGCATGGCGTGCGTGAGGCTTGCTTTGTGGGTGCGGCCTCAGCGGTCTTCTCTCACCGCCGCTTTTAGACTGTGCCTCCCTTCCCGGGGAGGCCTCATCCTCCTTTCCCTCTGTGGGGGTTCCAAACGGGAGCCGTGGAGAAATCCTCCATGGGGAAGGGATGGGATGGCACGGAGCCGCTCTTGGGTTCTCTCCTCCTCTCTGGGGGAGGAATCTAGGTACGGCAAAGCCCTCCTCCCTGCAGCATGACCCAACGGGAGGCTTTTTGGGTGTCCATCCCGGACGTCTGGGCTGAAGCGGTGGCCTCGGGCAGCATCTAGAGGGCAGCTTCACACACACACACCCCGTGTCCCGCTGAGCCCTTTGCCCGGAACATGACGTGCGTGAGGCTGGCTTTGTGGGTGCAGGCACCGCCGGCTTTAGACTGTGCCTCCCTTCCCAAGGAGGCCTCATCCTCCTTTCCCTCTGGGGGGGTTCCAAAGGGGAGCCGTGGAGAAATCCTCCGTAGGGAAGAGATGGGATGGCACGGAGCCGCTCTTGGGTTCTCTCCTCCTCTCTGGGGGAGGAATCTAGGACCGCTTTCCCGAGCCTCTCTGGCCCTTCTCACTTGCCGTTGCTCCTCCCAGGTACGAGTCCCCCTCCTCCTCCTCTGAAGACTCCAGCACAGCAGAGAACGTCTCGGACAACGAGAGCACGGAGAGCGAATACCACGAGGCGAGTGACGGGCTCCTTGCAGGGCAGGCGTCTGCGGCTGAGCCCCCCACGGCACCCCCGACAGCCACGGAGACGGCTCGTTCAGGAGCACCCGCTGAAGGGGAAGGAAGACTCATGGCTAAAAGCAAGGAGCAAGCAGACGATCCTGGGTAAACGGGAGCTGCACTTTCCTGCAACTGTTGTTGTGGTCTTCTGTGGAGGCACGGATTGGCCTGCGCCCCGATGTGGGGCTTCACAGGAGCCGTGGCCATCAGCCTCTGTGTTCAGGGCTACCACGACTCTCTGCCCCTTTTTGGGGTTAAACCAGGCGATGTGACTGGCTGCTGTTACATGTCTGAAAGGCACTCTGCGTGTGCCCAGAGGCATTGCCTCCTTAGATCCAGGCTGTGATGCATTCCTGGTGGCAAGTAGAAGGACAACTGGGAAAGAAACCTGGCTCTGGTGAAATTCCTACATTTTTGATGGTTTTTCAAAGGATGCCGGGGGTCCCTTTCTGATGGGTGGCCAAGCAGCAGCAACGGCCTTGCCATCAGGATGTGGCTCCAAGTAGACCGGGTCTTGTGTCGACAGGCTGGTTTCCCACAGAGAAGCTGAAGGGGAGCTGACGAGGGTTTTTGTCTCGCATCAAGACAAACAAAAAACACTTTGTAAAATATATCCAGAACAGGAAAACAGCCAGGGAAGCAGTGGGGCCTTTGGACGACAAAGGAATAAAGGGATTGCTGAAGGAAGGTGGGGAGACGGCAGAGAAGCTCAGTGGCTTTTTTGCTTCTGTGCTCACCGTGGAAAGTGTGGGGCACAGACCCACGCCACAGCCCCTATTTTCAGGAAGGGAATCTGAAGAACTCGGCCAAATTGAAGTGATCAGAAATGAGAGTCTAGATCTACTGGGGAAATTAAGACCCAATAATTCTCCAGGTCCTGATAGCATACATCCGAGAGCATACATCCGAGAGTTAGTGATCTACTAACCTGTATATGTAACCTGTCACTAAATTCAGCTGCTGTACCAGAAAACTGGAGAGTAGCAAATGTGACACTAATTTTTAAAAAGAGATCCAGAGGGGAACCAGGCCAGTCAGCCTAAGGTCTATCCCAGGCAAATTAGTGGAAACCGTAATCAAAGATAGAATTGTTAGGCACATAGAAGGACAAAGCCTGCTGATGGAAAATCAGCATGGCTTCTGCAAAAGGAAGTCCTGCCTCACCAACCTTTGGGAGCTCTTTGAGAAAGGGAACAAGCATGTCGACAACAGTGACCTGGTAGACATTATATACCTGGACTTTCAAAAGGCTTTTGACAGAGGGTACCTCACCAAAGACTCCCAGATAAACTTAGCAGTTATGGGACTCACCCCCACTCACACTGAAGGTAAGGGAGCCCCCCCCCCCCCCCGCATATACACCGCAGGCATTTCTGTCTCCCCCCTCTGCCCTGGATACAGCACGAGGTGCTTCCCTCCGCCCCTCGCCAGTTCTCTTCCCTTGGCATTGCGCACCCCGAACTCACCTGCCTCAGCCTCCATCACTAAAGACATCCCACAAGTCCCCAGGACAAGCAGAACAGCGCTAACTGCTTTCCTTTCTTTTTTCCTCTCCCCCTCCCGCCTTGCCACACAGAAAAACCCTTCTCCGGAGGACCTGCAAACTTTTTCTTGCCTCGTCCAGGCCCACCTCTCCTTCCTCCCTTCTCTTTGGCCTCCTGCTCCAGGAAAGCCTATGGGCAAACACGGGGGTGGGAAGGGACAGGAAGAGCGCAAGAGAGAAAGACAGCAGTCCTCTTGGAACCCAGGCAAAAGCCACAGCAGCCCAGCATCCTTGGCAGGTAGAATTCTTTGGTGCCCTGCGCTGGGGGGAAAATCACTGTGCTACAATTTGAAAATTGGTGCGCTAGCACATGATAGCACAACTTAGCGTGACCTCCGTCCACTGGCTGTGGGGGGGGGGGTCTGCTCCTCAGCAGTAAGGCCCAGGAAAGGGGGGGGCCTTTAGGGATCAGGGAAGGCAGGTCCACGCCATTGTCAGTTTCTTGGTCATGTAAGTTTGACTTTCCCCCAAATGTGGTCTTTAGTCTCCAGGGAAGAGCTCTGAACAAAAACGTTTTAGCCCTTCTGCGTTCTCTTCTTCTTTCCGCACTCTTTAGAACTCTCTCCTTCAAAAACTCACACACACACACCCCTGTGTCCTTTTCCTCCTTCCTCCTCCTCCTCTCTCCCCAGGAAGGGGCTCAGCCAGGAACTGCGCTCCGCCTGTCAAGCCCTGCAGAAATACCTGGAGAGCCCTGAGGAGGCGCACATGGAGGAAGCAACGGTATTTTGTTCCCAACTCCTCCAAGGTGGGAGAGAGCAGCTGGATGGGCCGTGGGACTCCCAGGCGTGGAGCCTCCTGGGTCTGTGGGGAGATACCTGCAGAGCTCCTTCCAGTAGACAGCAAAGGGACAATTTGTTACCTGCTCCCCCCCCTCCCGCCCCCGTTTCCCAGACCGACCTCCTCCTGAAGCAAAATCTCCTCTGCAAGTGGGGCAGCCCCAAGATAACGCCCGCTCTCATCTCACCCGGGAATCTGGGCCTAGACCTGCCCTCCCAGGCAGTAAAGGCCACTTTGAGTCCTGTTAATCAATTAAGGCCCAGGTCACACGGAGAATTTGCCGCGCGAAAGGCGGATTTTCGGGGCGCGATCACACCACAACATCTGGCAAGCGTCGCGCACCCGTGGCCAACCCGTGGCGTGCCGCTGAAGATGCGCAGTTAAAAAGTACCTGCAAAGATCTACTAGCAAATGGTTTGCCACGGGCTGCAGACAGACTCGTTCGGTGTGATCGTGCCGGCACGCGCCTATTTCCTCCGGCCGTCCTCTTCGGTGCGCCAACGTCGCGTCTGATCACATGATGGCAGATCAGAATGTGACGACGCAAATAGCCACGCCCCCCCCCCCCCG